ATAATGGTATAGTACAATATAGTAATATATAATATTTATATTGTACAGCAGCGGTTCTCAAACTGGGGGTTGCGACCCCCAGGGGGGTTGTTTGGCCATTTCGGAGGGGTGGCGAGGCTGCCTCCTTAGGCCCCGTCCCCAATGCTGCGCCCAGCCGAGGGTTCTCCCGCCTTCCGGCAAGACCGCAATCCAGCCGAGGGTTCTCTTCGCGCGAAGGCTCCCTCGCCTGGGCTGCAGTCCCGCCTTCAGGCAAGGCTGCGACCCAGCCGAGGGCTCTCCTCGCGTGAAGGCTCCCTTGGCTGGGCCGCGGTCCCACCTTCCGGCAAGGCCGCAGCCCAGCCGAGGGCTCTCTTCGTGAGAAGGCTCCCTTGGCTGGGCTGCGGTCCCGCCTTCCGGCAAGGCCACAACCCAACCGAGGGCTCTCCTTGCACGAAAGCTCCCTCACCTGGGCTCTCCTCGCAGGAAGGCTCCCTTGCCTGGGCTGCGGCCCCACCTTCTAGCAAGGCCACAGCCCAGCGGAGGACTCTCCTTGCGCGAAGGCTCCCTCAGCTGGGCCGTGGTCCTGCTTTCCGGCAAGGCCGCAACTCAGCTGAGGGCTCTCCTCACACGAAGGCTCCCTCGGCTGGGCCGCGGAGTTAGTCATGGGAGTTCTGTGTGCCAAGGCTTGTTCCAATCCATCGTTGGTGGAGTTCAGAATGCTCTTTGATTTTAGGTGAATTATAAATCCCAGCAACTACAACTCTCAAATATCGAGGTCTATTTTCCCCAAACTCCACCACATTTGGGTATATTGAGTATTTGTGCTAATTCTGGTCCAGATCTATCATTGTTTGAGTCCACAGTGCTCTCTTGATGTAGGTGAACTACAATTCCAAAATTCAAGGTCAATGCTCACCAAACCCTTCCAGTATTTTCTGTTGGTCATGGGAATTCTGTGTACCAAGTTTGGTTCATTCCATCGTTGGTGGAATTCAGAATGCTCTTTAATGGTAGGTGAACTATAAATCCCAGCAAGTACAACTTTCAAATGACAAAATAAATCCTCCCCAACCCCGCCAGTATTTAAATGTGGGCATATTAGGTATTCGTGCCAGATTTGGTCCAGTGAATGAAAATACATCCAGCATATTAAGTATTTACACTATGATTCATAACAGTAGCAAAATGAGTTATGAAGTAGCAACGAAAATAATTTTAAGGGTTGGGGGTCACCACAACATGAGGAACTGGATTAAGGGATCACGGCATTAGGAAGGTTGAGGAACACTGTTGTACAGGGTGAGGCAGCATAACTTCCTTTTTTCAAAACGTAATAAAACCCATTGTATATCAGAATTTATTTGTTTTATATATAATGTAGGTGCATACCTAAAGTTTTGTTTTACCTAGCTTTGAAGATCAAATTAGGTAGGTGACATCCCCCATTCTCCATACACTGAGTAAACCGATTTCTGGCGTTTGTCATGACTTTTATAATAATAATAATAATAATAATAATAATAATAATAAATAAAACTTTATTTATACCCCGCCACCTTCTCCCCAAGGGACTCGGAGCGGCTTACATGAGGCCAAGCCCAACAACACATCAGTAAATACAACATGCAATAAGCAAATAAACAATACAATTAATATAACTCACAAATAGACAATAACACACAAAGATTTAAAAACCTACGGCCGGGCCAGATGTAATAGTTAAAACTTTAAAAATAAATGCTGGGCATGAACAGAGGTAGGATGTATCTAGTAAGTAAAGGTAAAGGTAGTCCCCTGACATTAAGTCCAGTCATGTCTGACTCTGGGGTGTGGTGCTCATCTCCATTTCTAAGCCGAAGAGCCAGCGTTGTCCGTAGACACCTCCAAGGTCATGTGGCCGGCATGACTGCATGGAGCGCCGTTACCTACCTATTGATCTACTCACATTTGCATGTTTTCGAACTGCTAGGTTGGCAGAAGCTAAGGCTGACAGCGGAAGCTCACGCCGCTCCCCAGGATCGAACCTGCGACCTTTCGATCAACAAGCTCAGCAGCTCAGTGCTTTAACCCACTGCGCCACCGGGGGTTCCATATCTAGTAGGAGGGTTTTAAACGAAATGTAGGAGAGCAACCCTACGGGTAGTTAAAGTGCTTCTGAGGAAATTTTGCAGGACATTGTTTCCTTTATTCAGGGAAGGCACACTGGAACAGCCACGTTTTCAGGCTCCTCCTAAAGACTGCCAATGTGAGGGCTTGTCTGATATCCTTGGGGAGTGAGTTCCAGAGTCGGGGGGCCACCATAGAGAAGGCCCTCTCCCTCGTCCCCACCAATTGCGCCTGCGAAGGGGGTGGGAGCGAGAGCAGGGCCTCTCCGGATGATCGAAGAGAAATGCAGTCACGCAGGTAGGCGGGTCCCAGACTCTTGCCAGCATAGCAGGCGTTATGTTGGCAATTTCTTCCTGGATGTTGGTCTTCAAATCTTGAAGACTGATCTGGCTGGGATGGTCCATGCTTTGGTCACCTCCAGATTGGACTACTGTAATGTGCTCTACATGGGGCTGCCCTTGAAAATGGCTTGGAAATTCCAACTGGTTCAACGGGCGGCGGCCAGGTTGTTAACTGGTGCTTCTTACAGAGAGAGGTCAACCCTCCTGTTTAAGGAGATCCATTGGCTGCCGTTCATTTTCCGGTCCCAATTCAAGGTGCAGGTGCTTACCTACAAAGCCCTAAACGGTTGGGGATCCATCTACTTGTGTGACCGCATCTCCGTATATGAACCCACACAATCTCTCTGATCATCTGGAGAGACCCTGCTCACGATCCCACCTGTGTCGCAAGCTCATTTGGTGGGGACGAGGGACAGGGCCTTCTCTGTGGTAGCCCCCCGACTCTGGAACTCTCTCCCCAAGGACATCAGACAAGCCCCAACGTTGGCAGTCTTTAGGAAGAGCTTGAAGACGTGGCTGTTCCAGTGTGCCTTTCAGGAATAGGAAACTCCTAGCATCATGTCCCAAATGCACTTTATTAGAGCTCTAAGATTGTCTGCACACCGCACCTACCTCTAAAAATCTATACATTTGACCTGTCATGCCCAGCACTTTTAAAATTTTATTCATTACATTTGGCCTGGCCTTAGTTTTAAATGCGACGTAATATTATTGTTCTAATGTTTATTGTTATTGCTTTAATGTTTATTGTTTTGCTTTATGAGTTTTATTGTTGTATTTGTTATGCTGTTCTTTTACTGAGGGCCTTGGCCTTTTGTAAGCCACACCGAGTCCTTCGGGAGATGTTAGCGGGGTATAAATAAAGTTAATAATAACAGGGTCCTTGGACAGTTCACATAAACACGTGATTTCAAAAAACCCCATAGAAAAAAATCACAAGGGGCCAAATCTGGAGAGCGGGCCGGCCACTCCAAATCTGCTCGAAAAGTAGGCCTCGATGGCAAAAGCACTCTCCTCACTGTTCCAACGCATGATGGCGACTGAACTGCGTCAGGACAAAACTTTAGACTCCCGCCTCTCGAACGAGACCACGAGCGCTCTGCTACATCTTCAACCGACTAAATGGCACACATTTTAAAAAAGGAAGTTATGCTGCCTCACCCTGTATGATGCTAATAATATAATATATATTTTGCGTGTGTGTGTATGTATGTACGTGTACATATATATATATATATATGTATATATATATGTGTGTGTGTGTGTATACACACACACACACAGAGCAACTTACAATATATATAAGCAGGCCAGAGTGCTTCCTCCCACCCTGGGCATCATTCCACAGGGAAGTTCCAGAAGCATTCTCTCCTGACGTTTCACCCACATCGAGGGCTAAAGGCATCCTCAGAGGTTGGGAGGTCTGTGGGAAACGAGGGCAGTGGGGTTTCTATCCCTGTGGAAGAACTCTTGTATGCTTGAGGGAAGGGGGATAGTTGCCCTTGGCCACCTTGATAAGCATTGAATAGCCTTGCAGCTCCAAAGCCTGGCTGCTTCCTGCCTGGGGGAATCCTTTGTTGGGAAGTGTTAGCTGGCCCTGATTGCAACATTATATCTGTGGAATAATGTCCAGGGAGGGAGGAAGATCTCTTGTCTGCTTGAGGTAAGGGTGAATGTTTCCATTGGCCACCTTGATGAGCACTGAATAGCTTTGCAGCTCCAAAGTCTGGCTGCTTCCTGCCTGGGGGAATCCTTTGTTGGGAAGTGTTAGCTGGCCCTGATTGCTACATTATATCTGTGGAATAATGTCCAGGGAGGGAGGAAGATCTCTTGTCTGCTTGAGGTAAGGGTGAATGTTTCCATTGGCCACCTTGATGAGCACTGAATAGCTTTGCAGCTCCAAAGCCTGGCTGCTTCCTGCCTGGGGGAATCCTTTGTTGGGAAGTGTTAGCTGGCCCTGATTGCTACATTATATCTGTGGAATAATGTCCAGGGAGGGAGGAAGATCTCTTGTCTGCTTGAGGTAAGGGTGAATGTTTCCATTGGCCACCTTGATGAGCATTGAATAGCTTTGCAGCTCCAAAGCCTGGCTGCTTCCTGCCTGGGGGAATCCTTTGTTGGGAGGTGTTAGCTGGCCCTGATTGCTACATTATATCTGTGGAATAATGTCCAGGATGGGAGGAAGAACTCTTGTCTGCTTGAGGGAAGGGTGAATGTTGCCCTTGGCCACCTTGTTGAGCATTGAATAGCCCTGCAGCTTCAAAGCCTGGCTGCTTCCTGCTTGAGAGGCATTAGCTTCCTCCCACCCTTGACAGACATCATTCCACAGGGAGATACCTATATATAAACACCTCCCTGGCCTCATTCCCAACAGTTTCCTCTCAACCTCTGTGGAGCCCTTGAGCCAGAGAAGTGGGCGAAACGTCAGGAGAGAGTGCTGCTTCTGGGACAGATGGGCCAAGCAGGCCGGGAAGCCCTCCCCACCCCAAAACAAAGCAGGCCTTCTCCACACAACCCAAGCCAGAGATATATATCGGATTAAAGAGAGTGGTGTAGACACCCGCAGATACAGACCGGATCAGAGGAGAAGGAAGGCGCCCAAGGAGAGAGACTTCTTCCGGGAAAATGGCGGCCGGGCTGGTACAGTGACGTCACCCTCCCCCGCGCTCCTGATTGGCCGCCCTCTGGCGGGGCTCATTTGCATCTTTAAAGGGGACGCCGCGGCCTCTTCCCTCCCTCCCTCCCTCCCTTGGGGACTCCGTTGTGCGCTGGCGCAGCCAGGCTTTCTCTTCTCGGCCTGTTTTCTTCCCGGTTTCCGCTCCGAGGAAGAGCCTTCGAGCCTCCTTCTGTCTCTGGAGAGTCGGGAGGGAAGGGCAGGAAGAGAGAGAGAGAGAGAGAGATTGGGAAGGAGATTGGGGCTGAAGGGCGCGCTTCCCCAACTGGCCACTGGGTGGCAGCAAAGGACTATTTATTTGTATTGTCGAAGGCTTTCATGGCTGGAATCACTCAGTTCTTGTGGGTTTTTCCGGGCTATATGGCCATGTTCTAGAGGCATTCTCCTGACGTTTCGCCTGCATCTATGGCAAGCATCCTCAGAGAGTGAGGTCTGTTGGAAGTAGGGAAAATGGGTCTAAACATCGCTATGAGCTGTTTTATAATTGTGTTGTTGTTCATTCGTTCAGTCGTCTCCGACTCTTCGTGACCTCATGGACCAGCCCACGCCAGAGCTCCCTGTCGGCCGTTACCACCCCCAGTTCCCTCAAGGTCAGTCCAGTCACTTCAAGGATGCCATCCATCCATCTTGCCCTTGGTCGGCCCCTCTTCCTTTTGCCTTCCACTTTCCCCAGCATAATTGTCTTCTCTAGGCTTTCCTGTCTCCTCATGATGTGGCCAAAGTACTTCACTTTGTCTCTAGTATCTTTCCCTCCAGTGAGCAGTCGGGCTTTATTTCCTGGAGGATGGACTGGTTGGATCTTCTCGCAGTCCAAGGCACTCTCAGCACTTTCCTCCAACACCACAGCTCAAAAGCATCGATCTTCCTTCGCTCAGCCTTCCCTAAGGTCCAGCTCTCACATCCGTAGGTGACTACAGGGAAGACCATGGCTTTGACTAGGCGGATCTTTGTTGCCAGTCTGATGTCTCTACTCTTCACTATTTTATCGAGACTGGACATTGCTCTCCTCCCAAGAAGGAAGCGTCTTCTGATTTCCTGGCTACAGTCTGCATCTGCAGTAATCTTTGCCCCTAGAAATACAAAGTCTGTCACGGCCTCCACGGTTTCTTCTTCTATTTTCCAGTTGTCAATCATTCTTGTTGCCATAATCTTGGTTTTTTTGACGTTTAGCTGCAACCCGGCTTTTGCGCTTTCTTCTTTCACCTTGATTAGAAGGCTCCTCAGCTCCTCCTCGCTTTCGGCCATCAGGATGGTGTCATCTGCATATCTGAGGTTGTTAATGTTTCTTCCAGCAATTTTCACCCCAGCCTTGCATTCATCCAGCCCCGCACATCGCATGATGTGTTCTGCATACAAGTTAAAAAGGTTGGGTGAGAGTATGCAGCCTTGCCATACGCCTTTCCCAATCTTGAACCAGTCTGTTGTTCCGTGGTCAGTTCTTACTGTTGCTACTTGGTCCTTGTACAGATTCCTCAGGAGAGAGACAAGGTGGCTTGGTATACCACCAAAAACTTGCCACAATTTATTATGATTCACACATTCAAAGGCTTTAGAATAGTCAATAAAACAGAAATAGACGTTTTTCTGAAACTCCCTGCCTTTCTCCATTATCCAGCGGATATTGGCAATCTGGTCTCTCGTTCCTCTGCCTTTTCTAAACCCAGCTTGAACATCTGGCAACTCTCGCTCCATGTATTGCTGGAGTCTTCCTTGCAGGATCTTGGGCATTACCTTACTGGCATGAGAAATAAGGGCCACTGTACGGAAGTTTGAGCAGTCTTTCGCATTTCCCTTTTTTGGTATGGGGATATAAGTTGATTTTTTCCAGTCTGATGGCCATTCTTGTGTTTTCCATATTTGCTGGCAAATGGCATGCATTACCTTGACAGCATCATCTTTTAAGATTTTAAACAGTTCAGCTGGGATCCCGTCGTCTCCTGCTGCCTTGTTGTTAGCAATGCTTCTTAAGGCCCATTCAACCTCACTCCTCAGGATGTCTGGTTCTAATTCATTCACCACACCGTCAAAACTATCCTCAATATTATTATTCTTCCTATACAGATCTTCTGTATAGTCTCGCCACCTTCTCTTGATCTCTTCAGCTTCTGTTAGGTCCCTGCCATCTTTGTTTCTTATCATACCAATTTTTGCCTGAAATTTACCTCCAATGTTTCTAATTTTCTGGAAAAGGTCTCTTGTCCTTCCTATTCTGTTGTCTTCTTCCACTTCCATGCACTGCTTGTTTAAAAATAGTTCCTTATTTCTTCTGGCTAACCTCTGGAATTGCATTTAATTGGGCATATCTCCCCTTATCACTGTTTCCTTTTGCTTTCCTCCTTTCTGCTGGAGCTAGGGGTGAATGTTTCAACTGACCACCTTGATTAGCATAAAATGGGCTGACTGTGCCTGGAGCAAACTTTTGTTGAGAGGTGATTAGATGTCCTTGCTTGTTTCCTCTCTGCTGTTTTGCTGTTGCAATTGTAGAGTTTTTTTTAATACTGATAGCCAGATTTTGTTCATTTTCATGGTTTCCTCCTTTCTGTTGAAATTGTCCACATGCTTGTGGATTTCAATGGCTTCTCTGTTTAGTTGGAGATTCCATGAACATGAGGAAGAACTTCCTGACTGTGAGAGCCGTTCAGCAGTGGAATCTCTGCCCGGAGTGTGGTGGAGGCTCCTTTTGGAAGCTTTTAAACAGAGGCCTGGATGACCATCTGTCAGGGGTGCTTTGAATGCAATATTCCTGCTTTTCTTGGCAGGGGGTTGGACTGGATGGCCCATGAGGTCTCTTCCAACTCTTTGATTCTATGATTCTACCTGATGAACCAACCTGGACACAGCATATTATTATAGAACACAGAAGTGCTGGACCACTCTCACAACCACCATGTCAGGCTACACAGAGAAGCCATTGAAATACACAAGCATGTGGACAATTTCAACAGAAAGGAGGAAACCATGAAAATGAACAAGATCTGGCTACCAATATTAAAAAATTCTAAAATTGCAACAGCAAAAACAGCAGAGAGGAAACAGGCAGGGACATCTAATTACCTTTCAAGAAGAGTTTGCTCCAGGCACAGTCAGCCCATTGTATGCTAATCAAGGTGGTCAGTTGAAAGATTCACACCTAGCCCAACTGACAAAAGCCCTTTGTCTCACCCTGGTCATTCCACAGATATATAAACCCCTTTTTTCCCCAGTTCCAATAGACCTCACTACCTCTGAGGATGCTTGCCAAAGATGCAGGCGAAACGTCAGGAGAAATGCCTCTAGAACATGGCTCTATAGCCTGAAAAAACCCACAAGAACCTAGTGACTATTTATTTATTTTTCATGTCATCAGCAACCAGACCATTGTATTACATTTCTAACAGAACAAAACAAACAAATAGATTAAAACAAACACAGAATTTGCAAGCTTGGTAGTTGATTTAAATGTCATTTGACCAGTATCTGGCCACTTGGAGTGCCTCTGGTGTTGCCGCAAGAAGGTCCTCCATTGTGCATGTGGCAGGGCTCAGGTTGCATCGCAGCAGGTGGTCAGTGGTTGGCTCCTCTCCGCACTCACAGGTCGTGGACTCCACTTTGTGGCCCCATTTCTGAAGGTTGGCTCTGCATTTCGTGGTGCCAGAGCGCAGTCTGCTCAGCGCCTTCCAAGTCGCCCCGTCTTCTGTGTGCCCAGGGGGGAGTCTCATCTGGTATCAGCCATTGGTTGAGGTTCTGGGTTTGAGCCTGCCACTTTTGGACTCTTGCTTGCTGAGGTGTTCCAGCAAGTGTCTCTGTAGATCTTAGAAAACTACTTCTTGATTTAAGTCATTGACGTGCTGGCTGATACCCAAACAGGACCCAATTCAAGGTGCAGGTTCTTACCTTTAAAACCCTGACCGGTTTGGGACCCGCCTACCTGCGTGACCGCATCTCTGTATATGAACCCACACGATCTCTTCGTTCATCTGGAGAGGCCCTACTCTCGATCCCACCAGCATCGCAGGCGTGATTGGTGAGGACGAGAGAGAGGGCATTTTCGGTGGTGGCCCCTCGACTCTGGAACTCACTTCCTAAGGACATCAGGCAGGCCCCAACTCTGGCAGTCTTCAGGAGGAGCTTGAAGACGTGGTTGTTCCAGTGTGCCTTCCGAGAATAATGATCTCACAGCACTTTGTCTTCCAAAGCACTTTACATTTTTTAGGTCTGCTTGTATGTTTTCCACAAACGCCCCATCACTTTTTCGCCCATGTTCCAGCATTACTTCCAATTTTAATTTTACATTTGGCCTTCCCACAGTTTTAATCGTGTGGTTTTATTGTTAATCTTGCGTTATTTTATTGTCCATGTTTTTATTTTAATTGCTTGTATTGTTGTTATTATTGCTTGTATTGTTTTGTTTGGGCTCGGCCTCATGTAAGCCGCACCAAGTCCCTTGGGGAGATGGTAGCGGGGTACAAATAAAGTGTTATTATAATATTATTATTATGTTATTATTATTGGAGGTCCTTTTCTATTATTATTATTATTATTATTATTATTATTATTATTAAGTGGAGGCTGGGTGAACATCCGTTGGGAGGGCTTGTATTGTGTTTTTCCTGCATGAAGGCAGAAGCAGGTTGGACTAGATGGCCTTTGGAGGTCCCTTCTCTATAATAATAATAATAATAATTATTATTATTATTATTATTAAGCGGAGGCTGGGTAGACATCTGTTGGGAGGGCTTGTATTGTGTTTTTCCTGCATGAAGGCAGAAGCGGGTTGGACTACATGGCCTTTGGAGGTCCCTTCTCTATTATTATTGTTGTTATTATTATTATTATTATTATTATTATTATTATTATTATTATTATTAAGCGGAGGCTGGGTGGCCATCCCTTGGGAGGGCTTGTATTGTGTTTTCCCTGCATGAAGGCAGAAGTGGGTTGGACTAGATGGCCTTTGGAGGTCCCTTCCCTATTATTATTATTATTATTAT